TTTTTTAATAAATAATTTAAAAAAAAAAGAAAAATTTACTTGTAACTATGTATGGTGATGGATATTAACTAGACTTAACTGTGGTGATTATTTTGCAGTGTATACAACCTGAAATGAATATAGTATTATAGGTCAATTATACCTCTCAATTAAAAAAAAAGAAAACCTTCACAACTGTCCCCTTTCCCTTCCTATGTCTAATCCCAAATACTTGCCTAGATAAAGGAATTCAGCTCCAGTGGAGAGCAGAACCAGAATTCTCAACAGATGATGAAGATTCATCTGTCCCAGGACCATGAAAAGTTAGGAAATGGGTGAGATTCCCATTACCTGGAGTCAGGGATAAAGTGACTACACAGTGAGGTCAAGAGAGCCTGAAAGCCAGGGCGGAACTCCTTGCTCCTAACAGCCAAGAATTTACCCACCACCAACCCCAATGAAGAATAAAGTAAGTCTGAGAATCAGAGACAAGGAGGTACCTTATCTGTCCTGTTCATCATTAGATCTGCAAGGCCTGGGATAGCACTGCCCCACATTAGATGAATAAAGCTTTGCTGACTGCAAGAGCTAAGGATCCCCAGGCCCAGCAGGGGAGCCAGCACAGTCACTCTGGGGCTTTGTGTCCTGTGCACTGTGGAAGTTCTCGCCCTGAGGACTCGTCCTCTGACAACCTAGGTTTTATTCTTTGTTGTTTCTTTTGGGGAATGGGGAGTCATTTATTTTTTTCTTAGGTTCCTAGTGAACATGATATCTTAAGCGGAAAGGAGAATTGCTCACACCCAGGCAAGGACAGTTGGGCAATCACAGCTTCTTCATTAATAAAATGAGTTTGGACTGTATAATTTCTAAGATCCCTCCCAGCCCCAAAGTTCTATGATTCTAAACTAACTAAAATTTAAGAGAAAGATATGATATTCAACAAATATGAATTACTAGGACTTGGTGCTAAAGACAAGAGTTAAAAAGAAACAAGGTAGTCTGCCCTTTGGGAGTGTAAAGCCAAGTGAGAGAATGAACACTAAGTTTCTAGAACACTAAACTCTTTAAAGGTTACATTTTTTTAAAAAAGATTTTATTTTTAAGTAATTTCTGTACCCAATGTGGGGCTCAAAGTTACGTCCCCAAGATCAAGAGTCGTATGCTCCATTCTCTGAGCCAGCCAGGTGCCCCCATAAGGTTACATTTCTTGAGTCTTATGAGATGCCATTCCAAGCACTTTACACTTTAACCTCACAATTCTTTTAGATACGTACTCGTATTATCCCCATTTCTCTGCTAAAGAAACTGAGACGCAAAGAAGTTAAATACCCTGCCAGTAAGTGGTAGAACACATAATCAAGATTCAAGGTCCATGTTCAATCACTTAGCAGTTAACTGAGCACTAATGATGGAAGATCCAGGAGGGGTATGGAGGAGGGCACTCCCACTCTTGCTACAAGTCCCTGGAGATTTTGTGACGTCATGTGGGTTATGACATTTTCTTTGGCCCTTAGTGAAGTCCCCATCAGTTTAACAGGCAGCACAGCTGATGTGGGAAACAAAGGCAAAAGAAAATTTAAATTTTCTTACAATTTACAGCCCATGAGACAGGCAGAGTGACCTTCCTCTAGGAACTCAGCTGCCTCAATGTTAATGATGAGGGACCATAAGGCAAGCTGAGGGCCAAGCACAAGCTAGCACAACCCCCCACCACCCAGGTGGGATATGTGTGATATTCCTCAGGCACTCCTGGCTGCCCAAGAACAAGAGAAAGAACAGGAAACAAATGGTTAAACTGATATAGTCTCCATCTGTTTACAAATATCTCAGTAATATTACAAGAAAAGGGCAATCTTATCAATAGCCTAATCTCTAGGAACTCCCTACTGTCTTAATGATAATGCTTTGCTAGAGGGCAAAACAATTTTGACAATAGCTAGGCCTCCAGTAATCTGTTTCTTCTTTAGCATATGGAAATCCTTTTAAGAAACTTCCTCTTGGGGTGCCTGCATGGCTCAGTCGGTTAAGCATCTGACTTCAGCTCAGACCATGATCTCACAGTTTGTGAGTTCAAGCCCCGTGTCAGGCTCTGTGCCAAAAACTCAGAGCCTGGATCCTGCTTCTGATTCTGTGTCTGCATCTCCCCCACTCGCACTCTCTCTCTCTCAAAAAAAAAAAAATAAATAAACGTTAAAATTTTTTTTAAAAATAGAAACTTCCTCTTGACTCTACCTCCCCAACTCCACAGTCACTCTGAACAACCCAAGTGCAGCTCTTTCTGCCTACCCTGTGCTCTAATAAAATCGCCTTTTTGCACCAAAGAGGTCTTTGAGAATTCTTTCTTGGCCATTGCCTCTGAACCCCCACCACCATTCCAAAAACCCATCAATAATACTTTGCTAAGGGCAAAAGGCAATCTTAGCTTAACATTATCCGACCTCCAGGATCCTGTAAGTCTCCTTTAACATATAAAAATTTCTTTGGAAACTTACTTTATATCCCAAGATACATGTTAGCAATCATCCTCCAAGCATATGGCCCTCTGACATACATCTGAAGGGTCTCCTAAGGTTTTATTAGACAGTAATAAATGAACTTTTCCTAACAAAGCTAGTCCCCTCAAGGTCCTGGAAACCTTGCCTCCAAATTCCTTAGAGACTTATGCTATTCCTAACCCCTTTCCAACTTGGAAGTATATAATCAATTGCTTCTCATAATCCCAGTGCAGCTCTTGCTGCCCATGGGTCCTGTCCCCATGCTATAATAAAATCACCTTTTTGCACTGAAAACATCTCAAGGATTCTTTCTTAGTCATTTGCTCATGAACCCAATTTCATAATTTCATCATCATGAGAATTAAATACAAAGTTGAGCCATACGAAGTTGTTTCTAGACATCAAAAACGGGTGGAACCTACCAAAATAGTTAACATTCCTCCGTGCTTCAGATTTTTCAAAAACTCCAGTCCTAAATTCCTTTATTCCTGTCCTAAAACACAGTTCCTCTCAACTGTTAGGGTGGCCCTGGGGATTCAAAATTGCGTATTGTTGATCTACCCTGTGGAGGCCAATCAATTAGCCTCATGGCAGCCTCATGAGATCTGGCAATTCCTACATGGATCTGGAGCTTCTTTCCAGCAAGGCATAAGCACATCCCTTGGGGGCCAGAGAAGCCAAGAGCCATGACAGCTCCTTGCCCTGCTACACAGAGAGTCAGTGCACTTTCACCCTTCTTTCCACAGCCTATTTTGCATTATTTGTTGCTGTATGACGGGTAGTGACGTTTGGTTCCATTTTAAAATGTGGAAACTGGGGCGCCTGGGTGGCTCAGTTAAGTGTCTGACTCTTGATTTCGGCTCAGGTCATGATCTCACAGTTCATGGGTTCAAGCCCCACATTGGACTCTGCATTGATGGGTGAGGAGCCTGCTTGGGATTTTGTCTCCCTCTCTCTCTGCCCCTCCCCTGCTTTCTCTCTCTCTCTCTCTCAAAATAAAAACATTAAAAAAATTTTTTAAATGATAAAGTAAAATGTGGAAACTGACAAGGGTGCTACAGGCAAGCTGAGGGCAAAGCACAAGTTAACAACCTCCTCTCCCCGCAGGTGAGATATGAGTGATATTCCTCAGGCACTCCTGGCTGCCCAAGAACTAAGGAAGGGGGAAAACAAAAGGTTAACTGATAGAGATCACAGCCAGGACACAAGTCTCCATCTGTTTACAAATGTCTTAGTAAACTACAAGAAAAACACAATCTTATCAATAGCCAAACCTCCAGAAACCCATAGTCTCAGTTTCCTGGAGCCCTAACATCACCCTTTCCTCCACAGTGATGTGAGGAACAAAGGCAAGAAGGAAATGGTTAACCCGTAGCCCATTGGCAAATACTTGAGGCAGGCAGAGTAACATTTCTCCCTGAACTCTCTACTGCCTTAATATTAACGCTTTGCTAGTGGGAAAAACAACCTTAGCTTGAAGACAGCCAGGCCTCCAGTATCTGAGTTCTCTTTAGCATACGAAAATCCTTTTGAAAACCTCCCTTTTTTTGAAAAAAAAATTTTTTTTCAGTCTATTTGTTTTTTGAGGCTCTGTGCTGTCAGCTCAGAGTTCCACATGGGGCTTGAACTCAGAAACAGCCTTGCACTCACAAAGTGAGATCATGACCTGAGCCAAGATTAAGAGTTGGAGGCTCAACCAACTAAGTCACCCAGGCGCCCCTGGAAACCTTCCCTTTGCCTTTATCTCCCCCAACTCCATAGTATAACATCAGTCACTCCTCAGAACTGCAGTGCAGCTCTTTCTGCCCACGAGTCCTGTCCTCGTGCTTTAATAAAGTCACCTTTTTGCTCCAAAGCGGTCTCAAGAATTCTTTCTTGGCCTTCAGCTCCGCACTCCCCTCCCTCCCCGCCCCACTCCAAAACCGCATCAGAAAGCAATGTCTACAGAGGGTTTAGTACCAAGTAGTATTAGAAATAACATGGGTTTGAAGTTAGATGGATCAGTCCAGGCACTGCCCTTAGTGTGTGACCTCCTCAAGGTCCTTGAACCTCTCTCTCGACCTTCTGGAGAAGGGCGTTAATATCTCCCTTTCTCATACAGCTCTTTTCAGTTCAACCCAGACTCTCCATGACCGGGTGAGACGCAGAGAGAACCCCACGAGGAGGCACTGCGGTAAGTGCTGGTGCGCTAGGGGGTGAAGAGCCCCGCCCAGCGAGCGTACAGCCGGGGCTTTCCATAAATATAATACTTTGCTTCCACTGAAGACAGAATTGGCCTCGACATGCCCAAGTTCAGGTGGCCGACGAGTACCGCAATGTGTCCCAAAACCCGGAACTGACCCTAACCAGTTCCCCAGGGTGCGGTGTAATTGTGCCAGCCCACAGCAGGCGGGGCCGGAAGTCTCGGGCGGCTGCGGCCTGCGCCTGCGCGCCGCCATCTTGTTCGGAAGAGACCGCCTCCCTGCCCGCCCAGGACTCGAACGCCAGGAGGCGGGGCTGTGCGTTGCGGCGGGCCGTGGCCGGGCCATGGCGAGCGCGGAGCCCAGCACGCCCGGGATGCGGGCTTCTACCCCGGGACCCCGGCCCGGCGGGACCCCGGACTGCGCACCGGGCGCCGCGAGGCTGCCCTTCGGGCGAAGCGGCAGCGGAGTCCCCCGACTCGGGGAGCGGCCCCGGGCTGTTGTGGAGAAGAGGGGACCGTACATGGTGACGCGCGCGCCTTCCATTCAGGCCAAGCTGCGTGAGTGCGGCCAGATTGGGGTGGGGGCGTTCTGCCTGGGCGGGCTACCTGGTCCCCTGGGCGGGCTCCGGAGCCCTGCTGGGGATACCCTGGAGGGGCAGCTGCAGCCAGCTCCCGTCTCGAGAATGTGTTCGGAGAGAGCGGGCTCCTGGCGTTTGGGAGACACGGCGGAGTGGGGAAAACCCCGCTGACCCGGGCCCTTTGACTTCCAGAGAAGCACCGGGACCTGGCCAAGGCCGTTCTGCGGAGAAAAGGCATGCTGGGGGCTTCGCCGAACCGCCCCGATTCTTCAGGGAAAAGGTCTCAGCAGGCGCCATCTCCTCTGTGCCAGCAGTTTCCAGAGAAGGCCTTACTCCTCACGCTGGGAGACAGTTCTCACGCTTTAAGACCGAGCTAGTGATTCACCTGGCGCCAACCCATTTAGTTTACTATTTTAAAATGGGAAGAGGAATGACCTTTTCTTTTCCTTTAAGGATGTGATGATGTCAGGGAAATGGCTTTGGAATAACAGTTTTGTCCGTGCTTAGGCTTGTTCACTGTGAGTGTCAAGCTAGGCAGGAACACAGTGGCTGGGGTCTCCAGGAGTGAGGATAGCAGTGTGGGAACAGTCAGTCCTGTATTTCTTTTGAACAGAACGGTAAACTCTGAGGGCTGGATGGGACCTTATCCAGTGCATCTTACAGTTAAGAGCTAAAACTCAAGAGAGGGGAAGAGAGATTTGCCCAAGGACTTGCAGTTGGTTGGTGAGGAGGGGGAGCTTTCCCAGTTCTGGAAAGAGTAGCTGTGGTTTTCCTCAGGAGCAGTAGGGGGAGTGGTGTGGGGAACTGCATATTCTGAGGAGCTGTAGCAGGCAGTGGTGGCTGTGTGACCAGGTAGAAGGCAAGACCGTACTGCAGCCAGTTCTTTTTTCCATAAGGGCAAAGACTCTTGACTTTCCCTGGGAAATGTTGGTGCTTCATCTATGCCTGGTCTCTTCCCCATCTCCCCTCAGGTCAGTGAAGTTTAACAAGGGCTACACTGCCCTTAGTCAGAGTCCAGATGAAAACCTGGTGTCCCTCGACTCTGACAGGTGAGTGCTGTCTTTGGAACTATCCCTTGGGGGAGTGATATGGGTAAAACAGCAGATCTCTTCCAAGAACCTTCATGCATGTTCCAGGGCTGTCTTCAGAGCATTGTCCCTTCCCAGGATAGTTTGGTTAAAGCACTCAGGCGATCATGCTGTTCTTGGATTTGGAGTACCAACCTTGTGTGGGGGAATCATCCTCCCCTGTTATGTCTTCAGTGTTAGTGACAGTGACCCCGTCCCTGCTTGAGCCCATGGAAAGAGCCACTGGTACTCATGACAGATTCTGGGTTTCAGTTCTCTGATGTGTGGTCTTCATTTCACAAGTCCTCCAGACCCCCTTGCATGCTCTCCACAGGCATCCCCCTGAACTGACTGTTTTCCTCTTCTAGTGATGGGGAGCTGGAATCCAGATACTCCTCCGGGTATTCCTCTGCAGAGGCAAGTCCAGAGCGCCTTTCTGCACGGGGCCAGGCTGCAGGCAGCATCACCACCACTGCCAAATGCTTGTCTTGTGCCTGCTGTATGCACGGCACTGTGCCAGACTTACGGTCTGTTCTCCAATCTTCTACTCTGTCTTAGTCCCTCAGCAGAGGTATAGGTGTCTGAGGAGGGCTGTTGAAAATTCAGGAGACCATAGGGCTGAAAAGGACCTCACAAATCTTCTAGTGCTGGTCACCACTTAGAAAAATCCTTTTGGGAGGTAGGGGAGAATAAAAAAAGAGAGAAAGAGAAAAGGAATCCTCTTGCCAAACCCTGCCGAAGTGTTCGCCAGCCTCTGCTTGCTTGTGCCTGGGTACTCACTATCTCCAGGAAGCTTTCCCGCCTGCCCTTCCTCTAAAACAGACACATACACACACATTCCTTTTTCAGGTAGCTCTTAGATAAGGCAATATTATTGACTTGAAATGTCTCCTGCACGCTGGACTCAGTGGTCCTAGGCCTGTCTTCCAGTGTCACCCAGTAATTCTGGTTTCCCTTCCTTTGATTGCCTTTTATCTGAGATCAGCATTCCTGTCCCTCCCTTGGCCATCCTCCACCAAGGTTACTTTCTTCCAGGCCAAACAACTTCAGTTGTTCCATCTATGGGAACTCAGACTAAGATACTACTGGGCTGGCCTTTTGGACATGTTTCCAGAGTGACAGCCCCAGACACACAAGGACTGTGTCTGTTTTGGCATGTGCAGCTTTCTGCCTTAGAGGTGAAGTGCTGGAGACATGACTGTATGCCACCGGTATTTTTCCCTTGTTCTCCTGGAAACCCTTGGCCACTCCCTGAGTTTCTGCCAAAGAGAATAGAGGCAGTCTGTAATTTTTATCCTTGACTACCTGGGTGCCTAACATTGTTAAACCTAAGAAAAGAAAAATTAGCCAAGAGCCAGGGAAAGTTCTATGCCATTCCCAGCCTCCTGTTCCTTCTGCTCAGCAGAACTGGTAAAGCTAGGCTGACAGGTTCTGCTTTGCAGGGAAGGAGCTCTGCTAGCATGGAAGGCTAACATGTCTAACCAGCAGTGCAGACAAAGCTGCTCCCCACTTCGTTTCAACATAACTCATGTTCTATTCTACCCCATTGTTCTGGTATCATTGTCCCATATTCTTCAGCCTTCACAAGGACCAGTCTCGGTTCCCAGTGGGAGCAGTCAGGCCATTGACTTTCAAACATAATCTGGAATCTGATATTTACGTCAGATGCTTTGGGATTCTTTAGTGGGAACAGCTCCCCTGGGGGTTATTGACATTGCAGCCTGTACAGTATTGGCTCAGGGCACTTGGGGCCCCTCACTGCTGGGTGAGGCACAGGTAGAAAAACGTATCACTTCCTCACATAGTCCAGTGATGTGTGGAGTTGGCCTAAGTAAGGGTGGAGCATGAACAGGAAGTTCTGGTAAGGAAATGTAGGTCTGCCTTTGGGCAGCAGTTATTTTTGCTTTACTGCCTGGCTTAAAGTTTTCTCCTCTCCTGCTCTTAGCAGGTGAACCAGGAAGTGAGCCGGCAGCTGCTCCAGGATGGGTATCACCTGGATGAGATTCCAGATGATGAGGACTTGGATCTCATCCCTCCCAAGCCTATGGCCTCTTCAACATGTTCCTGCTGCTGGTGCTGTCTTGGGGACTCTTCCTCCTGTACCCTCCAATAGACATAAGCCCCCAAGATGGGCCCTGCTCACCATGCCTGCAGAGCCCTTTTGGCCCTTCTTAGGTCACAGAGTGCAGTGGGGACTGCTGTCAGCCTCAGAATCACTGGAGGCACTGACCCTCTGGGAAGGTCAATGACCTATAGTTACCCCTTACCTGGTGCTTCTCAGGCCAGAGGCCCCCCATCTGGGCCATAGGGTGATAGGTGGAATTCTGCAGTTTTCCTCTGCTATTGGAGCAGAGTTTGGAGAAACCACCTTTATAAGGGCAGGAACAGATGAATTCTGGTTCTTGTGGTCAGTGACAAAGCTGGCTAAGGAAAAATTGCAAACATCTTGACAGGTATTTGTCATGCTCTTTGGAGGGAGAAAGCTTTTGTGCCCAGCCTATGCTGGATGGTGTATGGAAGCAGAAAATAGCACTTTATGGCTTTCAGTTTGGGAGTCTGAAAAAGAATAACTATATGGGACCAGTTTAAGAAATTGCATATGCGCTCCTCTTCCTGGCTCCATGATGGGTTACGTGCTTGACACTCAAGGAAGCATAAAGCAGGGCCCTTTGGCTCTCTTCCCTTGTGCCTGTTTGGCTATGGCAGGGAGTACAGCAGGTTGCTTGATGGCACAGCAGGATCAAGACTTTCAGAATTCCTGGATCCAGAGCATCTCCAACTGGCTCAAACTGTCTGGGTAGGTTTAGTGACTGTGGTCAGCCCACCCTAGTTAGAGAAAAATTGCTCCATTATGTACATATTTATTTATTTGTCTTTCCTTGGTGGCCATTCTTTGCCTTGTTGTTAGCTAGTTCAATACACTTTTTTGAGCGTAAAGGTCAGGTGAAGGGCCTGGAGCTTGCCCCAGAAGCCTGCAGGTTTGGGTTACCAGCAGAGGGAGCTGCAGGGAGCAGTCAGGTGCCTTCCTATTGAGCTTTTTAAACTTAAGAATAGCGATGGGTGAGTAGTATAGTCGTACAGTTGTGTGGGCTGTGATGTAGTCAGAGGCTCACAGGATGGAGAGGAGGGACCCATGGCAGCTTCCGAGAGCCTGCCTGAGGAGATAATATGCCATTGCAGAGGGTTTCCCTTCATCCAGCATGGGCCTCACGGCAGATACAGAGGATTGGGCTTCACGGTAAACCTCTGGTGCCACGCAACCCTCAGAGTAACACAGCTGGGACAGGCCTAATCTCCCCAGTGAACACGCTGGCCCCCTGCCCCCAGTATTTCATGCATCTCATCATCTCTTGCCATCCCAGTCCTCTCTAGAATTTAGTTTTCAATGCTTTTTCTTTTCTTTTTCCTTTTCTTTTTTTTTGGCCTCACCTAGAGCCCCGGTGAGGATTGAACGAGAGTGGACACAGTTCCCAGCCCAAGGGACATGATGGTCAGGATTGGGGTGTGGGCCCACATGGGAAAGTACCTGGTCTGTTACTTCATTTGATGTCTTGTGGCCTCTAGAGGTATGAGGAATGACATGGACTCTTGCTCTACCACGAGGTGATTGGACGGCTGAGAAGGTCCTTATTTGTTAGGTGTAATCTAGTAGCATCACAGCAGGAGGGAGATGGGACAGATGCCAGAGGCACCTCGAGTTAGGGTCTGGAGGATAGGGGACACAGATGCTCCCGAACGGGACAGGGCGATGTCACACAGGTGCCTCACATTCTGATAGCTTTGTGCAAATGCCCACAGGCATTTGAAGATGTGAGAACATCCTCATCCTGAACCCTTTGCCCATCCACCAAAGACTATTCAGGCCTTTCTGGTTTCTGCAGACACATGAAGAGAGGCCCCGATGTAGGGCAGTGTAAAGAAACTGGTGGTGGCAGGAAACCCAGTGGGGGCCAGAAAGTGCTGTGGAAGCCCAGGGGGGCCACATTTCTGTGGGGGAATTGGTTAGGAGAGGGTAGCTGAGCATTTGGCAACAGCTGTGGTGAAGGCAGCAGGGCCCTAAGATGGACCTCCAGCTGGTAGTTACCGTAAATCAACACTGATGTATTTGCCTGCATCTGTTCCTGGAGAGGATGTTCCGGAGCTGGTTACTCCGTGTAGAAGGCATTACCTTTGAAGTTTTAGGAATAGGGTAGCAAGGCAGGGTAGAAACAGTCTCCTGTTTGGGGCCAGAGGTCCCAGGCTAAAATGTCACCAATAAAGGCACCAAGGTGCCTAGAGCCAAACTGCCTTAATTCAGAGTGCTGGATATTCTGCAGGTGACAGTGCCTTGGGGAGAGAGGGGTGTATTTGCACTTACCTCACAGAGGGGAGTATGTGTATGGTGTTTACAGAGTACTCTACAGAACTTTTGGCTTAGGCTTCTACAGCTCTGGGGGTTTCTAAGAATAAACACAATCATGCTAGTAGTTAAGCCGTCTCTGTGTTACAATAGGATTTTAAAGAAAGCCCTAGACCACAGCCTTCTGAAATGAAGAAACAGCCTAATAGCCCCAACTGTGACCATTCGTCCTAGGACCTCTTGTTCCTACTATTCCCAATGGGCATCATTTTCAGGCCTGTGTCATTGGAGACCATGGATGGAACAGGCCTTTGCACAGCACTTCTCTTTAGACTGCGTTCCCTTTGACAGACCTTTTCTTCCCAGGTCATTTTTGGGTTTTAGCTGAAGAAAACTTGGAGGCCAAAAAAAAGACACCCCAGAACAGATTTGCCAGAACTTTTTTGAAGGCAGTTTCCTAGATTTCCATTGTATAGGAGCTCTAGTGTGGGCAGTAGCCCAAGAAGATCCTTTTGTGCCAGTCTAAACCCTTACCCCACAGGAAGGAGCCAACAGCCTGGCTCTCTGCTAAGTCTGAGGTGACAGGATCTCGGACTGCAGTCAGGTACTTCAGTGGCAGAACCGACAGCTGTGCCACCTCTTGCAGACTAGAGGGTAGGCACGGGAAGAGCAGACGCTCTATGTATTTCCTGCCAGTTTAGAAAAAGTAGCTAGGTTTCTCTTCACAACACAAATTGGATTGCCCTGACCCCAAATCCCTGTGTATACAGTGACTGAATGTGCTCTAGAGAAGTGGCTGACAAACTCGGAAGGGTTGGTCCATATGTTTGGTGTTGCAGGCCCTACAGTCTGGTGCATTTACTAAATTTTGTCACTGTAGCCTGAAAGCAGCTGGATGGTATGTAAATGACAAGTGTGGCCAGCTCCAGTCTGCTGGCCTTAACATGCTGATCCTGGCCCTAAGGCCAACTGAAACATTGGAGAGGAGAATCTTACACTGACAGTACCTGTCTTTAGATCCACCTTCCCCATATGTAGGACTCAAGGCCTGCCTGCAAGCTCTGCATCTAAGGCTGAAGCCGGCTGCCCTTCCTATAAAAGGGCCCTGAAGTCCAGCCTGCCCTCCACAGGGAGCTCTTAGACGCAGAAATTAAAGCAAAAACTGGACATCCAGAAAGGGCTCTATCCTGGAACACTAAAGGTTGACTGCTCTCCATCAGCCTCAACACAATGATCTTTAATTGCTTTGACAGAGTCAGAGGGTGGCAATGAGTAATGAGTCCATAGGCCTACTCTTTTCCCTCCTTTGCGTTTGAGGAAATGGGCAGTCCCAGGGCCAGAACCCTGTTCTTAGAAATGGCCTATCCTTTTGCTGTGAGTGATGCTGAAATAGTACTAGATTTTAGCAGCCTGCTTAATGCCAAAAGCTGGAACAGCTGCTGCCTCCTGCCTTGAGGAGAGCCTGGCTGAGGTATGGTGAGAATACAAGGGGAGTGTCTGCTCTTAGTTCTCATCGGGGTCCTTCTCCCAAGAGAAAGATGACGGTTTGTCCTAGGCTTGCTCAGGAGGCACTACCTTCAAGCTTGCTACTCTACCCCAGCTCTTCCAGTGCACACCCAAGTCCAGAACAGGGAAGGGTTTGAGCTGGGCCTGAGAGGCTGGCTAGGATTTAGGGTAACTCAGAGGAGAGCCAGACAGGCTGTGGCCTCTACAGCAGGCAGCAGGCTCGGAACATCAGCAGGTCATCGGGCACAGTGAGCTTCAGTGAGACGCTCTCATTGGCCCCAATGAAGAGCACCCCACCACGCTGCAGGGGGATTGGTGTCTGGGCTGTGGGAGTGCTGGCTGTCACTCTTCCCTGTACTATCAGGAGGATGCTGGCCGAGTCCACTGCCAAAACCTTGTATTCAGTGATGGAGCCAGGGACCTGGGCAAAACAAACAGCAGGATGATGCGCTTCACTTTCTGTTCCTATCGGCTCACAGTGGGCCCAGGACAACCCCAAAGACAGTGAGAGGAGCGGTCAGTTATCTTCTTCCCCACTGCTCAGTCTCTTGTCAGCATGGAGGCCCACATCCAGTCTCTGGTACAAAGAAGAGTAGGTAGGTCCCGTGGCTATGCCTCCCGTACCCCCCACCAAGTGAGCTTAACAGAAAGGAAAACCAGCCCCAGGTACACTCCACATTGTGGACCTTGCCAGGGTTTTTCTTTTTTTTTTTTTATGTTTATTTTAGAGAGAGAGCATGAGCAGGGGTGGGTGGCAGAGAGAGACAGAATCCAAAGCAGGCTCCACACTGCACAAAGCCTGATGTGGGGCATGAACCATGAGATCACCACGTGAGCTGAAGTCCAATGCTCAACTGACTGGGCCACCCAGGCGCCCCTTGCCAGGCTTTTTCATGCCACACAAAGACAATCATCATAGCTGCCACCATCCCCACCCTCCCCACTCACCTCCATCTTCATGACAGTGAAGTCTGGCACAGGGGGGTTATAGATAGAGAGGTAGGGGTCTTCTTGACTCTGTGTTGGAAGAAAGAGCCTGTCCTTGCTGGGGGTATAGTTGAGCATTTCACACAGAGTTGGCACATCGATGAACTTGGGTGTCAAGCCAGCACGAACAGTATTGTCTGAACACGCCATGCACTCCACACAGTCTAGGGATAGACAGTTGTCATGCACTAACCTGATGAAGGATGCCTTGAATTTAGACTCTCCAGGGCTGGGCCTCCTAACGTTGGGTAAAACGTGTGAAATGTATAATCTGGGAGAATGGGCTAAGATATGAGATACTAAATAGTAGGTCACCTGCATATTGTCGGTCACGTTAGCCCCTGGGGGAGCCCCAACCCTCCCCAGACTATTCTACCACAGAATCCTGTCCATGAGTGGACAAATAGCCAAGAGTCAAAATGTGACACCTTTCTGTGAGAATGTATTTTCGCATAAAAATCTCTGGGTAAAGACACATGTAAAGGTAGCATAACGTAGGGGAGAGAACAGCAGCCTCATCCAATATAGCCTGGGTTCAAATTGTTAACCACACATGCACACAAGACTCAGCATGAGAGTACTGGGACCTCAAAGGGTGTGAAGAGTCAAGCAGTATATAACACAAAGCTGTCGTTCTCCATCCCTACTGGTTACTTCCCTGCCCACCCCAGGAACCCTGGGAGGTCAGAGCTGGATGGGACCTTAAAGGTCTCTCCTTGACCACCCCCTCCCCTTTTATCTAAATGAGGAAGCAAGGCTTGATAGGCTTGGTAGACTCACTGCTAAAACGTTGCTCATCTAGGGGCGCCTGACTGGCTCAGTTGGTGGAACGTGCAACTTTCGGCCTTAGGGTTGTGAGTTTGAGCCCCACATTGGGTGTATAGATTATTTAAATAAAAAATCTTTAAAAAAAAATGTGACTCACCTCCTTTCAGGTAGGCATGGGGCACATTGGCCTCCAGAAACATGGCCTCTCCTGGCTTCAGGGTAAGCAGGTTCAGGAAGTAGATGGCAAAGCATCCAATATCACCTGGATACTGCTGATGCAGCTGCAGCAAGAGCTCCCCATTGATGTCCTCCATGTTGTTTCCAGCAGCCACTGAGGGTCACAGAGTGCCCCAAGGCCATTTAGGAACCCCCAGTGGTGTTTACAGCCCCACCACGGCCACGAAGTCCTGGGGAAGTCCCTACCCTCAGAAATCTAGAAACTGGTGGGTGTGTCTGTCTAGCCACATCCCCACCCTTTGTGGGCTGGCCTTCCTTGATCTTCCAGCCCACAGAGGTGCCATTTTCCCTTGTTCTGACCGTCTATATGCTCAGCATTACCCTGGCCACTGGAAGAGTTAAGGTTTGGGGCCAGATAATCCTTTGTTGTGGAGGCTGTCCTGTGCATTGCACTATGCTTAGCAGCATCCTTGGCCTCTACAACCAAGATAGCACTAGCACCCCAATCCATGTTTTGAAACAAAAAATGCTCTAGACAGTTGCCAGTGTCCCCTAATTGAGAACCACTGCTGTAGAATCTCAATCTATTTAAGGGATAACCCAAGAGTTCCATGCGGAGTGACCAACTGCCCCAGTTGGCCCAGGCCTTTCCATTTCACAGCACTGAACATAACATGTCTCAGAAAAAGTCCCAGACAAACCAAGATGGTTGATTACCCCAGAGAGCAAGAGGCAGAATGAGCCCAGGGTCAAAACTGTGTCCTGGAGACTGACCAGGGTAGGGAGACCTCAGCCTGGGCTAGATTAGTGAGGGAAGTCTTGGAAATTGGGGCAGGGGAGGGTGGTGAGCTGAGATTTCTTGAGTGTGCAGAGAAGTGGGGAGGGCATGAGTAAGTAAAAGCTGAATGTGTCAGTGTCACAGTGAAGGAACTGGCTGCTCTGGATTGGAGGGTGGTTCTGAGCCTTCATACACAGACAAGCTGAATGTCTGTTCTGTGCAAAGCACTGGGAACACAGTCTCAAGGAGACAGATTCCTGGCCTGGAGAAAACCCAGGTGATACATGTGGTGATATAGACTCACAGGTGCTACACCTCACATATCAACAGGGTGTCCTGGGAGCTCCCAGCAAGAGTATCCCATTCTGCCGTGAGTGCCACTTGGAGCACTCTGAATGCCTCTCACACCCTCCAGCGATCAGCAGCCCAGAGGCTTACCGCCCGCAATCTTGGGTCTCAGTATTCATTCATTCGGTCCTTCACAGGACACAGATTTACTGAGAACCGGCAAAATATCGTGGGATGTTCTAAGGGCTGGTGATGATCCAAGAACAAGATAAGGATCCCTTTCCCTTTGTAGAGTTTACATTCTGGCAAAGGGAGAACGTGCAAATAGGTATAAAGGGGAGGCATGCAAGCAGAAACACCAAAAGCAAAAGAATCCAAAGAAAACAGTATGTTTGGGTAAAAGAGCTCCCTATGGCTCAGAGGTGACAGGAGAAATGTGTAGGGAGCCAGAAGAGCTCTGGGGTTGCCTGGAGAAGGGGCTGGGGCCTCATCATGTGTGTCACATAAGCTCAGAGCTGGAATCCACTCTGCCTTGTTTTATACTGCTTGTACTAACCTCCAGACCCAAATGTGACAGCCACACCCATCAGTCATTTCCTGAACCCTCCTTAGTTAGCACAAGGCTGGGCACGGAGCAGCTATTTAAGGAAATATATCTCTATCTATCTATCTATCTATCTATCTATATCTATATATGTAATTAAAAAAAGATCTGATTGAAAGCTCTGGGCTTCAGGCCTTTGGAGAAGAGGAGGATGAGCATCCCCATGTCCCCTTCCTACTTTCTAGGCCCAAAGTATAAATCCATCCATGGAGAACAACTGTAAGGCTGGGGAAATCTCAGAATGCCTAGGTGGAAGACCTCCTAAAAGTCCTCCAGGCCACTCTGTCTCCAGCCGTCTAGAGAAACAAAGACTAGGAAAGAAACGCTCAGTTACTAACAGACCATCGAAGTCATCTAAGGCCCATTTTGGTGATGCACTTTGAGCAGAGAGGTTGAGAACCCTGTCCTCCTCAGTGCCTGGTGCCCATGCTGGGGCAGTGCAGGCCGGGGGCACTGCACCGCCTACAACACCCACCTTGCTGGGAGATCCGCTTCACCAACAGGTTGAGCTGCTCCATCACCACCTTCTTCTCGCTCTTCATCAGGTGGGAGAAACAGCTCTGCAGAGCAGAGGCCACACACTGGGAGTCACTGCTCAGGCTCTGCTTCAGCTGTGTTGCTGCATTATCTCCAATAAGAAACTGGAACTCGGGCACCTCTGCAGGAAGGCCATGCCAGGGCCCGTATCAGGAATGGCAAGGTGGAACCCGCACGAGTGGGAAGTCGGAAGAGGCCTCCCTATCCCTTCCCTAACCAAGGAGCCAGGCAATGCTAAGCAAACTTTGAGGTGAAAACCAACTGCTTGCCACCAGCCCTACCAACCATACCTGAGCCTGGTCTCACAGGTCCACCCCAGTGGCTTTTTAAGAATTATAGGGGCCAGGGCTTCGAGGCATTAGGCTCAGTAGGTTAAGCATCCCGACCCTCCTCAGGTCATGAGTCTCACTGCTCTGTCAGGTGGCTCGAGCCCCACATCAGGCTCTGTGCTGACAGCTCAGAGCCTGGAGCCCGCTTCAGATTCTGTGTCTCCTCTCTGCCCCTCCCCTGCTCAGGCTCTCTCTCCTTCAAAATAAGTAAACATTAAAAAAAATTAAAAAAAAAAATTCATAGGACTAAGCAGCCCCTCAATTACTGTGACACTTAGCCTCTGTTCTCTGCCCCTATTCCAGTTCTTCCCTGGGTTGCCTATGCACCGTAGGCCCAATATGCATGTTCTATTTTGCCCAGTCTTACTTGTCAGAAACGTCACAATTTCCTCAACTGGCCGGAAGCCACATAAACCCTGGAAGGAGGTGAGGGCAATGGCTATCTCTGGCTTATGGTTGGCATCGGGGTAGTGCTGTGGAGCCTGGAGGTGCAATTTCTCTGCCAGCTCCTGTGGGATGGCGAAAGGAAGAGGAGGATGGTCAACGTGCAGTCATCACACCTAGCAGGACACCAGTCCCACCCAGCCCTTGCTCTCTACCTGCCCTGGTCGCCAGATAGCAGTGGCTTCATACTTTTGGCAATGAGCCCAGTCAGGGCATAATGCAGAAACTCAGGGCCTGGAGTGCAAATCAGGAAACCCCAACACCAAGTCAAGCTCAGACACTAACAAGCTGTGCAAGTTTGGTTAAATCCCTGTCTTCTCTGGGTCTTACTCTGCCCATCTAGAAATGAGAAATTTGGACACACAAATGCCTAGGAGTTGGGGCAATAGTTAGGGTGCCTGCCTTGCCCTGGAAGGCAAACTTTCTGAGAGAGCCAGGTGGGAAAACAGCAGGTAGAGTAGTCCTGGGCTGGATGAGGGGAACCCAGGAAAGAGCATGGAGAAACTCCCTGGGCACAGGCTGGCCAGCTGTCCGCTTAGACTTAGCTGCCAGCATGTGTCACCAGCATCTGGCCTTCCAGAGCTAAATTGGGAGTCGTCAAGCCTGAATTTAGCTTTGGGCTGGACTGTGGCACGTGGGTGGGGTAAAAGCAGCAGTAAAAGTAGTGGGAGGGCCTTGACCTGAGTTCTTCTGTACCCCGACCTCTGCACTCCACTCTAATCCTGTACCTTGTTAGGGTGTGCCTGGATGGACAGGGCAGTTTCAACCGAGAGCACTTTGAAGAGGAAGGGCAGCTTGCCATTAAAGGTGTCCTTGACCTTTGAGCCCAAGCAGTCCTGGTTCTCAGCGATCCACTGGCCTAGGGTCTTCTGTGAGATGCGATTGTCAAGGATCTTGGCATCTCCCCGGGGATGGCACCCCATCCACAACTGGAAAAACATAAAACTTGGGAGGGAAAAAGGAAAAACCGGACACCACCAACCTGAATCCTGAGACAGGCCTCCCAGGCCTGGGCATAAATGCTCATGCCATCACAGACATACAGGAAGGCAGCAGACCCCAGCATACCAGGAGTCAGGAGACCCAATTCAGGCTCTGCCCCCAACCGGCTGTGGAAGCCTGGGTTGCTTATTTCTGATCTCTTGGTCTCGATTTTCTCATCTGTCCAATCAGGAGAATGACACCTGCACTGTCAAGGTCACTAAAAAGCTCTCAAATGCCTCTGAGAAGGGTTAACATTCATTTATTCCAATCTCAGAAGTAGAGGCCTTCGGCCTTATACTTTGGCTTTATCTCACCTAAACGGGCAGGAAAAACACATATTTTAGGTTATTAAGATGTAAAAGTCAAAGTTTTAATTGTCAAAGACGGCTGACTTAAAATTCAGTAAGTGCTGGTAGTTCTTGGGGGAAGGAAGATACCAGAAATCCCAGCCAATTATGACAAAACCTCTCTTCTTTTGGTGCTACCATCTGGATTCATTGCCTGCCCAGATCTGAAGAGCCAAGAGGGCTTCCCTCCCTCTTTGCTGCCTCCCTCTCCCAGCTGACCTAAATGATTTGCCCCAGGCCCTCTGAGTGAAGGAATCCCTTGGTCTCACCTGCTGGTAAAGTCAAACACAACCCAGGTCTCACCTCTGCATATGGCTTGTCCTCTGAGATCTGGGCCAGCGGGTCACTGCTGGCCAGCAGCCGAGCCACTTCACTGTTAGAACCTGTCTTCCCCCAGGCATACTGCTGCACCACACCGGAAAGGGGGAATACTGGGGGCATAGAGAGTGGGTCAGCTTCCACCCCACTCCTGAGGCCTGACCCTACTGTCTTGGGGAAACTAGACACGAGCTGAGGGTTTTGTCTGGGGGACAGTCATATAAGGGGTTTGTAGGTCGTTAGTTGAGACCCTTCTCCGCAGGCCTCGATGTTCCCATCTGTAAAGCGGGCAGTAAGGCTTTTCCGCGGACATGAGTCAGGTAGATGCGCTGAGGTGACGAGGAGGAAGCGGGAGGAACCTATTGGACAGCACCCCGTCTCGAAGTGACCCATGCGCGGCCCCTCCCCGCCAGACCCTCCTTCGAGCGCTGAAATGGCTCAATCCCCATCGCAAGTGCCCCCTCCTCTGCCCAGAGCCCATCCATCTTTCCGCGGAGACGCAAGCCTGGGTCCCACCTGGCATTTCAGGTCGGGAAGGTTCCCCGCGACGCGACCCTCCCCCAGTGTCCTCAGCAACACAGCCGACAGCCCACCTTGCTGAACTGCCATCCTCGCGGTACCGGACCTGGCTGCTGGCACGTATGCACTTCCCGACAGCACCCGCAACGCCCCTGACCCAGAGCTTCCTGGGAAATGTAGTTCCTCGAGTGCCTCCTTGGAGGGCCGTTTGCCGGGGGTGGCCACTGGGAGCACTCTCAATGCCTCTCACACCCTCCAGCGATCAGCAGCCCAGAGGCTTACCGCCCGCAATCTTGGGTCTCAGTATTCATTCATTCGGTCCTTCACAGGACACAGATTTACTGAGAACCGGCAAAATATCGCGGGCTGTTCTAAGGGCTGGTGATGATCCAAGAACACGATAAGGATCCCTTTCCCTTTGTGGAGCTTACATTCTGGTGAAGGGAGAACGGGCAAATAGGTATAATAAATAAGCAAGTCATATAGGAGGTTGAGAGATAAGTGCTACAAAAAGTGGGGGTGGGAGTAGGAAGCACTTTGCAGAATTTAAAATATCTAGGGAAGTCTTATTGAGGAGAGGAGATTTGAGCACAGGCTTGGAGGTGAGGAGGAATATTCTGACAGAAGAAACTGCTTGAGCAAAGACTACGGTGGGAACATGGGAATGTGTCTGTTATATTTTGGAATAAATAGCAGAGAAGCCAATGTGGCTGGAGCAGTGAGCATGTGTGTATATGTGTGTGGGGGGGGTGGTACACGTGAGGTGGTCAGAGAGGAAAGGCAGTGCACAGAACTCTGCAGGCTATTGTGAGAACCTCAGGTTTTACTGAGTAGCTCAGTCAGTAGCAAAGAATTGCTGTGATCTAAGAAGGAACTCAGTGATGCTTGATGATGTCAAATGTCACATGCAAGGCCCTTAACCTGAGCTTCAGTTTCTTCCTCTATAAAAGGGAGATAATAATGCCAGCCTAACAAGTATGTTGGAAGGTGAGATGAGATGATGTGGGATGCAGGAAGGCAGTCAGCACTCCATGCTCCTTTGATCCTCCCTGCCTTAAGTACTGCAGGACACAAAACCCCAGCCCCTCCTCCAGGCTGAGCTGCTCACATGTCAAACACACGGAAGTCAGGGAGAATCACCAGGAGCTCGGCATGGTGAAGGCTGGCTGGGCCTTGTTTGTGGAGTAAGCATGGGGCACCTGGGTGACTCAGTCAGTTAAGCGTCCAACTTCGGCTCAGGTCATGATCTCACGGTTCATGAGTTCCAGACCCGTGTCAGGCTCTGTGCTGACGGCTCAGAGCCTGGAACCTGCTTCGCATACTGTGTCTCCTTCTCTCTCTGACTCTCTCTCGCTCTCTGTCTCTCTCTCAAAAATAAACATTAAACATTTTTTTTTTAATAAATCCTCTGGAGGGGCACCTGGGTGGCCCAGTCGGTTAAGCGTCCAACCTTGGTTCGGGTCACGATCTCACAGCTCATGAGTTCGAGCCCCGAGTTGGGCTCTGTGCTGACAGCTGAGAGCCTGGAGCCTGCTCTGGATTCTGTGTCTCCCTGTCTCTCTCTACCCCTCCTCTGCTCATGCTGTCTCTCTCTGTCTCAAAAATAAATGAACATTAAAAACATTTATTTTTTTTTTTTTTTTCAACGTTTATTTATTTTTTGGGACAGAGAGAGGGAGGCAGGCATGAGCGGGGAGGAGGCAGAGAAGAAGGGAACACAGAATCGGAAAAGCTCAGGCTCTGAAGCAAACAGCCAAACCCGAATCTCTGTTTCGAACTTGAACATGATAGTCATGACCTGGCAAGTGGGGCAACAGCCCATTCTGGCGCCCCAAAAACATTTTTTTTAAAATAAATCCTCTGGAAAAAGGTTCCGACATCCGGACCTCACTCAGCAGCCCAGGAGGAGGGCCACCAGCTGGGGCACCTGGAATGAGAGCTACAGTCCTGACTCTGCTTCCCCACCCCACCACTAATTCTCACAGCTTGTACCTCACATGCCCAGGGGGAAAAGGGGGTGCTCTTTTCCCTGCCCAGCTGTGGGCATTGACCTCTCCTGGGGTCCCCTGGCTCAGATAAATCAGCCTGCGTTTCAAAAGAAGCGTCACCATATACTGAGGAATAATAAAATGGAAAACACAAGAATCCTACAAACAGCACATCTCACATACCTCCTACCTTTGAATACCTTTCCTTTACCTCGTTCCAGCTCCTCCAGCTATGAACCTTCCAGTGTAAGAATGAAGGATTAGTTTAGGCACGGAGGTGGGGTGGGCAGTGTTCTTGGAGCACCTCCCCTACTACCACCACTGAAGCCAGAGTTAGAGTCACTCCTTCATAGTATCTCTACACAGGGAAGAAAGAACTTAGATCTTTGGGACAGATAGAGCCCCACCCCACTCCACTCTTACCTTCCTTACACACAGAAAAATCTATCTGCAAGGGAGACTGGTATGTTTGGAGACCCTAGAACCTTTCACCCTTACGTCTTGCTTGTCTCTCTAGTAGAACTGATCACGCTTTACTATCTAGTGATGATCTGCTTTCTTTTCTCTTTTCCCTACTAGACCTTATATGTAATTCAGCTTCATATTTATGCCAGTACCCAGCTATAGCTCAAGCTATAACAGCAGCTGACATTTATTTTGCTATGTACTAAATACTGTGCTAAGTCCTTTTCGAAAATTGTCTCATTTCATTCTCAACATAGCCTATGAGATAGGTAGTGCCCTTAGCCCCATTTTAGAGATGATAAAGATAGGTCTTGGAGAAGTGAAGTAACTGCTCTAAGAGTACAGAGTTCCAATATGCTATACCTCTTCCCCTGTTGAATAAGTGAATGAGTAAATAGTTGCATGATGTCTCTTTCACAGAGAAGTGGATAGATCCCAGAGGTCTTTAGAGACAGATGGGTAGGCAAGCTCCACATTGGTGATACCAAGTTCCATTCTTTCTTCATCAGCCCAGCACTGTACTAGGCTGAGCAGACGAGGAGGAAGCAGGCTTGCTTCATGTTCTGTGGCCTGTTCTTTCAGGCTGCAGACAGCAAAGATCTCTATGCTGCCTACGATGATGTTGTGGTAAAACGAGTTCCTGGCCAGAGCCCCTAAAACCTTTGTAATGTCCTAAGCAATCAAAGTGTTAGAGACATCTTTTGTTTCAATATTTGGCCTTTGACCCCAGTTCCTGACACGGAGCTCCTAAATCCTTTGGAATTTCCTGGGTGACCACAGCAACTTTGGTCCTAAGGAGGCACCTCTTATTGGGCTCCTGGATAGCTTTCAGGATGGAAGGCCAAGCCATGAGTAGAAGCTTGGGAACTTCAGCCCTGCCTCTCCCATCCTCTGTCCCCTGGGGAGGGAGAGGGGAGAGATTAAATTAACAATCAATCATGCCTACATGATGAAGCCTCCATTAAAAAAAAAAAAAAAAATCCCTGAACTAAAGGGCTTGGAGAGCTTCCGGGTGGGTGATCACATCCATATGCCAGAAGGGTGGCACGCCCAACTCCACAGGGAGAAGCGCCTGTGTATCTCTTCAACTGGTTGCTCATCTGTATATCCTTTATCATACAACAAACCAGTAAATGTTCCCTGAGATCTGGAAGCCAGTCTAGCCAGTTATCGAACCTAAAGAGGGGGTCATGGGAACCCTGGTTTATAGAAGTACAGGTGACAACCTGGGGCTTGGTATTGGCATCTGAAGTGGGGACAATCTTGTGGAATGAGCTCTTACTTAACCTGTGGGTTCTGATGTTAACTTCAGGTAGACAGTGTCCGAGCTGAAATGAATGCTACTGAGCTAGTGCCAGAAAATTGGTTAATGTGAGGAAAAGGAAACCCACGTTTGGTTACAGAAGTGTTTGGTGTGAATATCAAAGGAGAAACCCAAGAGTGTTTCTCTACACTGCCCTCAGAGGAGTGGTCGTGGGGGGTTAGAGCTAGATAATTTCTAAGGGCACACAAACGTGGACTCTTTTGCTTTCTCTTGCTTGAGGAAATTTCCCTGGAGAAAAGTTGAACAGGGCCGTAAAGGATAGTTGGAATTTAGACAGGAAAGAGGAAGGTAAGAAAAGTGAATGATGGTAAGAATAAATATTTACTAAATGCCTATCATGTGCTCAGTACACTGCTAGTGCCAGAACACCAACAGTGAGCAGAACAGACCCTACTCCTGCCCTTCTGGAGCTTACAGTCTAGTGGGAGGGAGAGAAATAAACAAATAACCACCTATACAAGTGTATACTTATAATCTGCAATACGTATTGTGAAACAAAACTATAGGGTAATATAAGCATTTGTTGTGGGGGAAGGAGCTGATCTAACCTATTGAGTAGAGAGGCAACTCCTGAAGAAGAGGCTTCTGAGCTTGGGTAAAAGGATAAATTGGGGTTAACTAGTCAAGGATGATGAAGGCATGGACTAAAGAGCATACCAGGAAGAGGGAACATCATGGGCAAAGGCCCGCAGGCAGGAGGAAACAAGGAATGTTTGAGAAACTGAAAAGCCACTAGGAAGGCCCGAATGCATGAGGGTGGGCACAGGAAGGAGTGGGAATAATAGATAGTTGGGGGCAGATCCTATAGGACCTAGAGGCCACACCAAGAACTTGGGCCTTTATGGAAAATAAGTGAATGACTTTAAGCAGAAACGTTTATAATAATATATTGTTTTAGAGGAATATTTGTATAATAATATTTTGTTTGTTTATTTATTTACTTATAATAAAGAGACAGAGAATGAGTAGGGGGAGGAGCAGAGAAAGAGGAAGACACAGAATTCAAAGCAGTTTCCAGGCTCTGTGCTGTCAGCAGACCCTGATGCAGGGCTCAAACTCACGAACTTCAAGATCATGACCTGAGCTGAATTCCAACACTTAACTGACGGAGCCACCCAGGTGCCCCTATTTTGTCCCCTTTAAAGAGATCTCGGGTAACAACATGAACAACAGTAGACCAATTAGCAGCCCTGTACCAGTCCAGGGGAAGGAATGACAGTGGCTGGATTTGGTGGCAGCAAAGATGAACAAAGCAGAAAGTGTGAAGAAATAAGGGTAGTGAGATGTGAATCGGCCATCTCCCCCATGGCTGATGGCTCTATTGCTGAAATTCCTCATTCACTAACACATGCTTGATGCCCTGAGTCAAATCCCAGAGCAGGTCCTAAACCTGTCTCTGGGCTCAGGGATCCTCATCCCTAAAACCATAAAACTTGACAGCAGGGGGCAAGACCTAAAAAGAGTCAGGACTCAGCATGTGTGTGGTGATGAGAAAGATTAAGGCAAGCTGAGAGCAAAGTACAGGCTAATAGCAGCCCCCATCCCCAGGTGGAATATGTGTGCTATTCCTTGGACACTCTTGGCTATCCAAGAATAAAGGAAAGGGGTTTAAGTACTTGCCATGGTGATGTAGGAAACTAAGGCAAATGAAAGATTAAATTCCCTGTATAACAGCCCATTGACAAGTCCTTGAAACCAGCAGAGTGACCTCCCTCTAGGAACTCAGCTGCCTTGATGATGACACTTTGCTAGGGGCAAAAGGGAATCTTAGCTTAACATTATTCTGACCACCCCCACCCCCCTCCCTGATCCTGTAAGTCTACTGCTAAAAATTCCTTTGGAAACTTCCTTTCTCAACTCCCCCAAGATATATCCTGGCAACCATATTCCAAGCTTATGGCCCCGTGATACACATCTGAAGGATCTCATGACTGAGGTTTACTAAACAGTAATAAATGGCGTTTTCCTAACAGCAGCTAGGCCTCAAGATCATAGAAGCCTTGCTTCCAAAATACCTTGGAGACTTTATCCCTAACCCCCTCCGAACCTGAGGGTATATAATCAGTTACCCATCACAACCACAGTGCAGCTCTTTCTGCCCACGGGCCTTGTCTGGTGCTTTAATAAAATCACCTTTTGCACCAAATTCTTTCTTGGCCGTCAGCTCTGAACCCCCCCCTCACCCCAAAACCCCATCATGTGGGATAGCTGCATGGTTGGTTCTTCCGAAAAAAAATCCCCTCTGCCCTGCTGGGTCCTACCCCAAGTCCTCTCCTAGCTCGACTAAGTCCTCTCGGGTCAGAAATTCCGTTCCCCACTCCGGCCAAAATAGGCTCGTTCTCCTGTCTGGACCAGTTGGACTTCCCAAACTTGCCCTCCAGGGAAATGAAGGGGTTAAGTTTCCGGCTCCACTTAACAGAGTTTACTTGGGAATTTTCCAAGACAAATTTGGAAGCAATCAGACCGAGAGGCTGCTGAGAACAGGCTGCTGGGAAGGGTTCCGGCCCCGCCTTCCGCTCTCTCGTGCCTCTGAGCCACCCAGACCCTTGAGGCACAGGTATACGAAAGGAGCGCCTGGAAACGGAACGCCCACCCGCCGCTCTGTAGTGGGCTCGACAGGAGGGCGGGGCGGACCTCTGTGACGTCAGGACCACGCCCCTCTGGGAGGGTGCTGCGCCTGCGCCAGAACGGCTGCTTCGCTCCCGGAAGTGGTGGGTTGGCACGGAGAGCGCCGCTGGGTCTGGGTGCCCGGAGGCCGAAGCACTCGCGGAGCTCGCCGGTCAGTCCCCGACCGCCATGTCGTCCTTCGATACCAATCCCTTCGCAGACCCAGTGGACGTAAACCCCTTCCAGGTAGAGCCCCCAGCTCACTTCTCCCCGGTGCCAAAGGCCACCGCCCGGGCCCCTCGCTGGAGCAGAGAGACGTGGCGTAGGAGACGGCCTGTCTGCCCAATGGGAGAATGGGCTCTGAGGGCTGGCCTTTCGTAGTGTCTGGGGGGCGGGACTAGCAGCAGGTGGAACTGAGGAGGGGCGGGACGCTGTAGCCTGGGAAGAAGTGGTAGGACCCTCTAGCTCCCCGGATGTAGCTAGCCCCTTTGGCCGGACATTGCTGGGGAAGCATACGGTCGGGGAGAGAAGCGACTTCACCTGTGTGGGAAGTGTGGCTACTACATCCCGCAGTCTTGGGGAGACACCTGCTTTGAGTCACGTTAGGAGAGGGGTGACAACAACATAATGAAGAGGTAGAAGCCTCTAGAGGGACAGAGAAATGTGGGAACATGCCACGTTCCACTCTCCCCCCCACTCTCGGAACAGGCAAACTAGCCTACAAGGTATAGGAGACCCACCGAGATTTGCTAGGAAAGGAAGGTTGGAAGAGGGTGTGGAGATAACCGACGCACGCTGAAATACGGACTTGAAAAGAATTCCACACTTTGGCCATGGGTCTATTTTGGACTGGGATTTGGCTAGACAGGAGAGAGAGCCCAGGTTAGGGAGGGAGGAAAAGTGAGGGGGCTCTGAGGGTCTTGAAACACAAGGAATGTTGGTCTGATGGACGCGTGTGTTGGCTAGGGAGTTGAGATGTGCTGACCTTTGAGCTGGCTTGACCTTTTGAACAAAGGATAGCTGAAGAAGTCTTCCTACTTAAAGCGGAAACCTTTCTGCCTCTGAGCTAGGATACAGGGGTAATCCAGGGGTAATATTTTGCACAGTGACAGGCTGGGGCTCCTGTTAACTCCAAATCTCCTGTGCCTCCTTTTCATGTCTGCTCAAAACCGGTTCTAGAGAAGCTGAATTGTGCTGACTGGTGATTTATGAGCCCTGAGGTTTCTGCTCTGTCAGTATGTTACTAGGCACATTAACTCATCTTGCTTGTGCTTTATCTGGTCATTGGCAGCTGCAGAGTTTCCTGCAGGTGTGGGGAAAGTACTTTGACAGATCTTTCCTGCGACTCACAGCATGAGGTTTCTCCCCTTGAATTCCTTCAAGGTCGGTGCAAAGACAAAGGAGACTAGAAGGGAATAATTGTACACTCTCAGGGGAGTGAACGTTTTATGTTTCTTTCTTGGTCTCAAGGTACTTAGTCAAAGAGAGCCCTCAAAGCAAATTTTGGTAGCTTGGTCTTTGTAACATCCTGAACATTCCTCTTACAACTTAATGCTTCTTGACAGACCTTTGCAAGGACCTTGTCTCTTATGTAATTCAGTCATCTCTATTAAGTAAAGAAAAAAGCATTTGCATTTTTTTTTTCCCCTGCCAGTGTCATCTGGTGGTAACAGTTTGGTTTAATTACAGAACTGCTGTATGACGCTGGGATCTAGTAGTCTTAAAATTTTTTTTTAATCTTTATTTATTTTTGAGAGAGAGACAGAGGGTGAGCAGGGGAGGAACAGAGAGAGAAGGAAACACAGAATCCGAAGCAGGCTCCAGGCTTTGACCTGTCAGCACAGAGCCCGACGCGGGGCTCGAACCCACAAACTGCGAGATCATGACCTGAGCCGAAGTGGGACGCTTAACCGACTGAGCCACCCAGGCACCCCATTTAAAAAAAAAAAATTTTTTTTTAATCTTTATTTTTGAGAGAGAGACACAGCATGAGCAGGGAAGGAGCAGAGAGAGTGGGATCTAGTAGTCTTTTGGAGTGTGTTCTTTGTAATGATTTGCTTTTTTTTCCCCCTCCCCTGTCAGAATTGGAAATAAAATGTCTGCTGCTGTCTGTCTGCCAGAGGCAGTCAGCCATCCAGAGATGCGGAGAGCTTGTCTCCAGTGCTAGCAGTGGGCGAGATAGTTGGCCCGAGTGCTGCCCAAGATTAATAGCAGCTTGAAAGTCTTAGTCTTAAACCACATCTCCAGCCCCAGGAATGATTGTGCAAACTGTGGTAGAAGTAACTTCTGCATTCACCGAGACAGTCTGTCCATCAGGCAGCCCCAGGATATGGCAGGACAGGAAGCAGCTGTGGTCCTGTAAAGAACAACATCTGGTGGGGGAATCCTGTGTGGGAAGACAAGAGCTGGCTGGCTGGGACTCTGCTCCTCCTTACCCTTGGCCATGTTTTTCCTCTTGGTGCACAGTTCTTCGGGGAGAAGGAACTTTGGACGTGATGCCCCACCAAGCTCTTTCGCCTGGAGAGCTGCCCTCCCTTTTTGTGATGCTGGTGTCTGCTTTCCTGACTGCCAGGGCTGGGACATGGGAAGGGTGCAGCCCTTGGGTGACTGGGTGTGAGCCCAGCTTCATTTACCCAGGGTATTAGCACAGAGCTCAGGAGAAAACAAGGGGAGAGGCAGCAGACTCAGAAACTGTCACACCTAGCCAGCTTTCAGAGCAGAGTCATGCTTTCCATCACTCTGTGGTGGTTCCTGAAAGTGTAGTGTTCAGAGTCCATGGTGGAGTACTGGAGCTGGGAACATCCTCAGGAATCTATTCTAACCTCTCGGTTTAGAGAGGAGGAAACCAGGAACCCAGTGAGGATGGTACCTGCCAGAGTCACCAGCTAATTTGCAGTGGGAAGGGGCCTAGATCTGGGTCTCATTCTCAGGACCTTGCTGTTTTAAAGGTTTTTGAAGTTCAGATATTGGTCTTAAACTGCGTTGGGGTTATTTAGGCCAGCTTCGTCATCACTGTCCCCATTCTTGAAATGAGAGTACTGGTAGGGGTGATTAGTACTAGCCAAGTGAGTTTTACCATTTGCTAATTAGTATTAGCTATGCAAGTTTTTTTCCCCAGTGTGTGGGGCTGGGATAATACAGATTATACTGTGCTTTTTAAGATAGTACTTTATTTATTTTTTACAAGTTCGAGAGAGAGCTCATGCTTGTGCGTGCAAGCAGGGGAGGGGCAGAGAGAGAGGGAGAGAGAGAATCCCAAGCGAGTCTCAGTCCCACGAACCATGAGATCATGACCTGAGCTGAAACCAAGAGTTGGACGCCTAATCCAACTGGGTGACTGAGCCACCCAGGCGCCCCAGGATAGTACTTTATAGCAGTTATGTTCTGAGTAATAACCAGTCCTGAAAGGTGCTCAGGGTTATGTGGTCAAATAATTTTGGGAATCACTATTTTTTTCTTAAAGATTGGCAAGACTTATTTGTTAAAGGCTCTGAGCAATCCTGCAATAAAGACATTTGCTCAACTTTTTTTTAATTAAAAAAAATTTTTTGTTTCATTTATTTATTTTTGAGAGACAGAGCCCAAGTGGGGAGGGGCAGAGAGAGAAGAAGACAGAATCCAAAGCAGGCTCCAGGCTCTGAGCTGTCAGCACAGAGCCCGACGTGGGGCTCGAACCCACAAACTGTGAGATCATGACCTGAGCCGAAGTCGGATGCCCAACCGACTGAGCCACCCAGGCACCCCTAGCTCAACTTGATCTGACCCAGAATTTCTCAGTTATCCAACCATGGAATCCTTTTTCTGCTAACTCTTGTGATCTGCCCTGCAACTTCTGGTGTGCCTTTAAATTGACTCCTTTACTCTTGTTTTTTATCCACCTCCTACTTCCACCCACCTCCCCGCCCTGCAATGTGGGTGTGGGCTTATATGACCTCTTCTCTGCGTGGAGTTATACTTGAGATTCTTAGCAAACTTCCTGCAAAGCAAGAGCTGTGAATGCAAAGTTGTCACAAGAGTGCAGCAGAGGTTTTACCAAACTTCCAGGCGGAAGCAGGAAACTGCAAGCCAAGTGTTGCCGATTTCACAACCTCCCCCTGGCACTCCCTAATTCCTGTGCTTATTATGGTGCATCTGCTTTGTACTCTCTGGATCTTTGGGTCCTACTGTGGACCGATTCCAGCATGTCTGATCCCAGAAATTTCTCAGGCAGTCTTGTCAGGTGGTGAAGAGGTAGAGGGCTAAAGGTGGGCATCGTGCCCATTTGAGTTTTCAGCGCTTAGCTAACAAGAAGGTCACCCAGGCCAGTGCTGGGCCTGCTTTCCTACTGGGCATTTCTTCAAGGTGGGGGGCGGTGTGAACTAGCTGGTGGTGCTGAACAGAGAAGGCCTTTCAGTGCCATGAGTTGCCAGATCGCAGAATATCACTTTCACACGTTGCCTCCTTGCAGTTAAAAGATAATCTCGGTGGTGTGGCTGCTTCCCGAGGATTTAAAACTTTTCTCTCCTGTGGGAGGAGAAAGTGGTGGCAGAAACGTGATTTGGGTGTGAACAAAGTTCCCTGCACAGACACTTCCCAGAGAGGGTGGGCTCCAGCTTGACTGTAGCTTTGGGAATTCTTACAACCACCAGATGGGCCTGTTAGAACTTTCCTGTGGAACAGCAGCATTGTCTCAAGAAATTTGAAAATGGTGAAGTTCATATAGTTTGAGTCCAGACAGCTGCCAGATCCGGGGGGTGGGGATGAGGGTAAAGGGGATGGGGGTTATCTCCCTGCCTTTATGGCTGGCACCTGGAGCCAGGCTGGGTGATTCAAAAGCACTTGGCCAGAGACACAGCTGGACTTTAACCCTACAATTCTGTTAAGTTTTCTTTGGAGCTACTTGGAGTAGGATAATCCTGTGTTCAGAGAAATGGTAATATTTAACCAGGACAAACAAGGGGTCCTTGCCACTCTTTCAGAGAAGAGTGCTAGTGCACATTACCAAGGTGTGACCCGCCCAGCAGTGCTTCTTTGAGGTGCCTACACATTTATGCACATCGCTGAGCTCCTGCTGTTCCAAGGGCCTGTGCAGGAGATTGAGGTAAATGAGCACACGGCCTGCCAGAGCTTCTGATCTGGCAGGAGAGCCAAGAAATGCTAGCTGTTCAATGATAACACACCGTGGGTATGATGAAGGCAGTCGAAACTTGGCAGAAGGAACTATGAGGGATCTGAGGAGGAAGAGCAGAGTCCTTTGGTAGAAAGGC